AGTTTGTGATTGATTCATGTTCCAATGCTGTGATTAAGGGTGGGTGATTGCTGTATCAGTGCACTGACTGGATTGCCACTGCCTCCTCCTAGACTGGATACAATATAAGAGACAGAAAGAGGCTTGTCTTGCTTTCTCTCCTTCCTTTCTCTTACTGCTTTTGCTTTTGGCTTTCTTCTGCTACCATGAACAGTTGCCCTTCTGCCATGTGCCACTCTGCCTTGGAGCCAGCCAATTATACTGAAACTTCTATTAAACTGTGGGCTAAATAAACCTTTCCCCCTTTAGCTTTGGGTGTTGAGTGTTTTGTCTCAGCCAGGAGAGAAAAGTAGCTAAGACAATTCTGCATAACAGAGTCAATACTTTAACTCACTTTGTGTTCAACAGCAACATGGGAAACTTTAACTCACTTCATCCTTACATCAATACTGGAAGTGAAGTTTCTTACCTTTGCTTTATAGATCGGGAAATTGATACATGTAGAGCTTTAATAATGTACCTAAGGCAAAGGCAGTGTATGTTTATGTTTTTAATTTATTTTAAAAATAAAAGAAGGAAAACATATTAACAAACAGACATCCATTCACAAAATAGCATAAGAACAATACAAGCAATACTGAATTACAGACAAACTGGTAGGAAATTAACAATGGTTGTTGTATTACATATTGATATATCTTTAAAGTGGTTTCTCAGGATAACAAATAGAGACATGCAAGATTGATCAAATAAGTAAGCATTAACTGTTCTTTTCAGTAAAACAATAGAAGTCAGTAGTACAACTATGTTAGCTATCCTGTATTCACATACATACATACATATATACATAATTTTCCCTACTTTCTTTTCTCTTTTCCCTCATCCCAGTTGCTCTTTACTTTTGAGCAATTTTCCTTCTGTTTCCCAATGTCTATCATACTGCCTAATTTTTATTCACTTTTTCAGGTTCTTACACTAGTGAGACAATATGTTGCTTACACATGGTTTTCTGATTTATTTCACTTATGAGTATGGTCTCTAGTTGTGATCATTTACCTGTAAAAGCCTGGAGGTTATCTTTCTTTATAGCTGAATAATATTCCATTATATAAAAGTACCACTTTTTTTTATCCATTCCTCAGTGGATGGACATTTGGGTTGCTTCCACAATTTAGCATTTACAAATTGTGCTGCTGTAAACATGGGTGCACATGTATTTCTGTGATATGATGCTTTCAGATCTTCTAGGAAAATACCCAGAAGGGGAATAGTTGGGGTTGGATGGGACCTGTAGACCTAGTTTGCTGAGGAATCTCCAAACTGATTTCCACAGTGGTTTCACCAGTCTGCATTCCCACCAGCAGTGGAGAAGAGTTCCTATTTCTCCACAG